AAACATTATCCTTGTTGGTCCTCTTTTTTCCGGAGAATGCTAAAATTAGTTCCCTTCTTTTTCAATCACAGTACTTCATTTAGAATCTACATATCTATATATGTTTTATTTTATTTTAAATTCAATTAAATATGAAAGCTGAAATCCATAATTAGTCAAAAGCCAAAAAAAAAAAAAAAAATCAGAAAAGGTCTAGTAGACCAGTGCTGTTTATGTCGGCAGAAACTTTAGACTTTAAAGTTTTCTTTTCCTATTTATCACCTATGCAGAAAGGCATACATCAAAGTTTCTGTTTTTTAAATTAACACATTTAGTTCATGTATAGATCAAAATTTTTTATATACATCAAATAATTTATCCAATAAATTCAAAGCTACGTATCTTTCGGGGAAAAATCGAAGACTAAATAGTCAAAAATCAAAATATGGAGGGTTGATATATGTATATGATATAAGGAATTCGGTAGCCACCAAAATTGTCCCCCAAAAAATTCTTAAATTGATAGCAACCTACTATTTAGCCTTGTATGGAGTAATTGACGGAATTTTCTGTATTATTTTGTCTTTTTAGTGTATGGATTTTTTTTTTTTTTTTGAACTGAAGTTAAATTTTAGTGTATGGATTTGAGCAACTCATCCAGGAAAAAGCTCATTTTTTGTTTGTTTGTTTGTATAATTAGTTATTTTTCAAACATGGCAGCTTCAGACTTGATGGCTTTGTCTTTTTTGATCCATTATTAATATTAATAGCTTTAGTTTAATTAGCTGGCTAGATCAGAAAATGTCTATAACAGGAAAAAGAAGATGGTGTGAGTTAGCAGCCAATTTTTTTTTTTTTTTTTGCAATAGTAGCCATTAAAAAATGATTCTTTTGAATAAATTTTTTTTTATAGTATATTCGAATTGATGAAATTAGGAGAATGTAGGAAGGGAAGGGAAAAAAATTACACTTCAAAAAAATCAGAGAGGATGGAAAAGAAGCCATTTGATTTATTTGTTTTTTTTTTAATTAATTTATTTATCTAGACGATGGGAGGGAAAGAAAACAGTTTCCCTCTCCTCTCCTCTCTCTCTTATATTTCATTTTTCTTAATCTAAATATATTATTAATGAAAATTTTCAGTTTAGGGGATTGATTTTCATTATTCCTAAATCCTCAACACCACCAACCTCAATCAACTTAAATAACCAATCTACCAGTTACAGCAAAGTTTTACTTTTTCTACCAAAAAAATAAAAGCAAAGTTTTACTTTGTGTTTGGTGGACGGCAGGTCCTCTTACATGTGGGCTTTGCAAGAAATTGGATCAAATATAGGGCTCCATTCATATTAAAAAAAAAATTCCTAGACTGTGAAAGCCCATCAAATCCAGAACTAAAACACTGTCGTTCCTCATTTTTCAAAATTGTACCCCAACGACGCAAGCAATGCACATTTGTATGCTGTCTGAAACGCAGTCTTTCCTCTCCCTTTGAAAGAAAATATACTCTGGAGTTGTTCAAAACTGAAACTCAGCCACTGCTCCTCGGAGTGTATTTTCTATTTGCTTCTTTTTCTTTTTGATGCAGTCATCAATTATGGGTTTCCTTTTTATCTTTATTTGTTTTTTTCATTTTGCTCACCTAGAAAAGGGAGAATTTTGTTCTAAAAAATATTTGCTTTGTTGATGGCTTCTTAACATTATCCACCATCCTTAAAAGCTCAAGTTCAAGTTGTTAACAATGGTTGATTCTATATTTATATATCACTCACAATTGTACTAAAAAGAAAAAAAATAATCCATCTGGTTATTGTACTATGTTCACACTAGTAACTTGTACTGAAGGAATAAGGAATCCAAGGTGTCTGAGTGGGTAGCAGTGTGAGACAATGTCCTTTCCTCCTAAGAAATTAGATGTTAAGGGTAAGTGGATTGCCATGTGTTGGTTTGGGAAGTTAGACTTCAGCATTCAAAGTTGCTAAATAAAATAAAATGAATGTTCTGAGGAACTTCATATTTTGGAGTTTTATTTGATAAGAAATGCATGAGTTATGTTTTATGTGTTTGTCTTGTATATCAATCAGAAGATGCAAGCAACAACGATACACTGTTAGAACAATTTTGCAGTTTTGTATTTGTTTATTTGTTATATTTTTTAACCTTAATTTGCTTTTCCGTCGCAAATATGCTGCCAAACCTGATCATTGGAGGTCAAGATTAGCATCAAACAATCGGTTTGCAGATAATTCTCCTCTACTTTCGGCGCTGCGGAGGACAAAACATCCTAAAGGACACATTCCTTTCTGATACTTACAAGCATTTACAGACAAAAGAATTGGACAACATGAGGAAGGAGATAGATGATTGCCTCACTTTCACTCCACCTTCTCAGGGTGTTTCAGAGGAAAACAAGAAAATCAAAGAAGAGAAAGAAGGAAGTTCAGTCTGAGGATGCCAGTGGTTCGAGCAAGGTGACGGAAAATACTGTCAGCAAACTTCCTTTCCAGTGATCAGAAAGGATAAGAAAAAACTAACAAACGATTGGTAATTTTAACGCTTATAAAAAAATGAAAGCTTGAAAGTGTGAATGCCTTTTATTTTGCTAGGTTTTGAGATACCATGAGATATTGAACCTAATGGCATTTCTGGAGACACTGACAGTCTGAAACAAGCTGCATCAAGTTATCTACTGTAACTTAACTGGAGAAAAAAAAGATGTGCTGTTTTTGTGACTTTTCTGGCGCTGTGCATAGAGCAATTTGGGATTTATAACAACTTTCTAGCGCAGTCAGAACAATATTTTTACATCCAAAAAACCACACAAATTTACAATTTAATTGCAGAACCTAGCAGATTTTTGTGCAAAACTTTAACTTCATTATGTTGCTCAGTACACGCTTCTTTGGGAGCACTACGCTTGCACTACACAGGACACACAGGCAAACACTGTAACAAGAAATTTCATTCCAAAATGAAAAATCAGTGTTCTAAAGATTTTTCTATCTGCTGTCTTAGTGTCTTGTACTAGCTTGGCCAACTGATGAAGGTTGTGTCCTGCTGCAAAAAAACACAATATCATCATCTACCCTGCAAGTGAACTATAGAAAAGCTGCTGCTGCTACAAAGGCATGGACTCTTGGTGTGTTTATGAGATTTACTTGTTCTGTATAGGATTGGAAGTGCTTGGAGGTATACGCTGGAAGCTGGAATCCACTTGCTTGTAAGCATTCTTCTTCTCTCCAGGAAAATCTCCAAGAGATTGAGAAGATGACCCTGTACTTGAAGTTGATAAAGATTGAACCTGGGCTACTGCACGGCCTTCCACTTGAGCTCTATTCAGCCAAGTAGACATAAGTATGGAGAGCAGAACAACAAGAACAGCCATTGTTATAGAATAAGCCTTCATGTTTATGCTAAAATTTTTTTGCTTAATGAGTGAAAATGATTGAGAGATATCTTGAAGTATCCTCCCTTAGCTTCTACTTATACTAATTACTTTGTAAAAATCCAATTGGGATCTCTGGTCCTGTTGGGATCATGTGCTCTACTTTGACTGCTATGTGTTGCAACTCTGACTGTCAGATTTTGGTAAACAGTGCAGAATTCTCAGAGGGTTCATGTGATAAGGCACGTGATGAATACACTATTATTTCTTCTGGGGGAGCTAAAAGGGATTAATTTAATACTGTGGTCTGCCAGTGCCTCAAGGTCAGTTTTGGATTTATGTGTTTTCTAAGTTTTGAGCACTGCAGGTAACAGCTAGCTATGCAGAAGCAAGACTTTGTATTAGAGAAGACATACATTTGGGAAATTAAGGAAGAACTTAAAATATGGGTTAGCATCGAAAAGGATCTAAATTCCAATGACTTAGCACGCACATGTGTATATGTTTTCGTTATCAAATTTATAAGAAACGTCTTGAGGGTTTATGTCGAATGAAAGAGATCTTAGTTGGTTTTTTGGTTCTTTTTGTGTCCATTAACCTTTCTTGGTGCTAGGCTAATAAAATATTGTAGTTGTGTGCGACCATATAAACATCATTTTAGTTGATCTTGCTTCGAAGAGAAGGAAGACCTATAACAAAATTTTTCCAAGACCTATTTGTATATTTAAATGCTTGTTATGAAATTAATAACTTTTGTCTTGACCGGATGGTGGTTCAAAATTTCTTGATGTCCCAACTCCCAACAAATTAAGACTTCTGCTCGGTGATGTTAAGATAAGTTACCCATTTAATACTTGCGTGGTTCGATAATTTGACAGTTATATGTTTAACTAAAAAGTGCATTTCATCTCTTAAAGTTAAAATTTGAATTTCATCTTTCAAGAAAAAAAAAAATTAGCCACCTAGTCTTCTGTTCCTTTGATTCCTTGTTGAATTCAAACAGTCATTGGTAATTATTTATGATAAATTTGAAAATAAAAAATGGATAGCCATTAAGCATGGAAATGGCCCTAACTTCAAACCATATCCAAATGAATAAACAAGTTCTACAAACATAGGTAAATAATTAAAGTATCCCAATTCCCAAACCGTGACATGTTAGTTTGGGTCATCCCAATTCCAAAATCAATGCTCCGTAGTGTCTTTGAAATTTTAGTTCTACTATTGATGTCCTTGGTTATTGTTATTTATTATCACACCTATCATGACTTGTAATTTAAATAAAAAAAGTATAAATTGATGGAATATATATGGCCACCATAACCACAGCCTCCTTAGAATGATAATTCTGCTATGACATCAATCACCCATCAAGTAAATACTTAAGAAGTTGTGCCTTAATTAATAAAAGAATTTATTTATCTCATTCTATTAACTAAGATTTGAATTTTTAAGGAGATTAATAACGATGTAATTTTTCATAAAATCTCTATTCTTGATATGGATGATTTGCCTTTAATTGACATGAGGAAGAGTTATTCTTAAGGTGCGTGCAAACCAACTCCAAAAAGCCCTAATTGCAACTTTCCAAACCTTTTGGGGCAATGTGTACAATTTCCATACCATAGAGGGGTAGAGTGAAATTAACTAAAAAGAAACAATGCATCTCTTTTATCAATATTACCCTTATGATTGATGGCAAAAGCATATATTTAGCCCTTCAACTTATTAGATTTATAGATTTTATTTCCTTATATACTATAACAGTTTTAGCCCCCAATCTATTAAAATTAAAAAAAAAAAAATAACCTTCATTTATAATATTTTGTTAATTTTGTTAGCTGACTGTTAACTCTATTAACTAACTATTAGCTGATTGTTAGCTGATTGTTAGCTGATTGTTAACTGACAAAAACATATTTTCAAGTAATAGAGTCAACAATCAATTAACAGAATTATTCTATTAGATAATTGTTAACTCTATTAGTTGACTGGTAGCTGGTAAAAACCCACTTTCAGCTAACAAAGTTAACAGTCAACTAATATAACTAACGAAATATTATAAAATGATGGTTATTTTCTTCAATTTTAATAAATAAGGAGTTAAAAATGTTATAGTATAAGACAGTGTTGTCAAGAGCGTCCGCTTTAACCGCTTAAGCGATAAAGCGAAGCGGTCTGCACCTTTGGCGCTTCAATAATTAGTGAAGCGCCAGACTTCAGTGAAGCAGGAGTGAAGCACCCGCTTCACTACTTAAGCGCCCAAAGTGCAAAGCGATCAAAGCGCTGGCTTCTTTTTTTTTTTTTTTTGTTCAATTTGATAAAATTATCCAATTTAACCTTAAAATTTAAAGGTAAAATGGTACTTTAACATTTTTTCCCTAAATAAAACCCTAAAACACCTAAAATTGGATTTGAATCATGATTCAATCCCGACATTGCTGCTACTGCTTCTTCTTCTTCTTCTTCCTTCAAGACCAGGCATCTTTCTTTAAGATCAAGCCTGTGACAAGAAATATCCACATTTTCTTCTCTTCTTTTTTGCTTTCTTCAAGTTTGATTCTCTCATTCCTTCCAAGTTCCAACATTCTTTCCTTTTTTCTTCTTTTTTTGCTCTGTTTTTTCCCTTGCTTCTACACTTGCTGTGTTTCCCTTTGCAAATGGAAACAACTTCATCTAGGTCCAGTAATAAGAAAGATCTTGGTTGGAAATATAATTCTTTGAAGGATCCTAGTAAACCCAATTATGTTACCTGCAATTTTTGTAATAAAACAACTACTGGGGGAATCAATCAAGCAAAGCAACATCAGATGGGGCATTTGGGTAATGCTACAGTTTGTCTAAAAGTCCCATAAGAGGTTAAGGAAGAGCTATGGAATTATTACAACAAGAAGAAGTCTCAAAAATCCACCGATCCTCAGGTTCTTTTCAAATGTTTAATTATTTAGAAGATTGTAAAATCAGTGATGATGATTTGGATGAGATTGAGTTAGTTGAGTTTAATGCAAGTGGTAAACGGTTGTTGACTGCAAAATCTGGTGTTGGAATGCAAGGTAGTGGGAAGAAAACCAAAGGCCCGATGGATTTGTATTTGATGAAACCAGAAACTATAGTTCAAAGAAGAAAAGAAAGCAAAATGAGGCAAATGAGTATAAAGGATAGTGATCCAGAAGCAAGAGTTAGGACAGTCCAGTATATAGCAAGATTTTTTTATCAAGCTGGGATCCCATTTAATGCAGCATGTTTAGATAGCTTCAAATATATGGTAGAAGCTATTAGGAGGTATGGTCCAAATTTAAAGCCTCCTAGCTATCATGAATTGCAGGTTCCATTGTTGAAAAAGGAATTACAGCTTTCAAATGATATGCTAGAGGATCACAAGAAGAAATGGTCAAAGTATGGTTGCTCAATTATGTCTGATGCTTGGACAGATAGAAGACAAAGAAGTATAATTAACTTCTTGGTGAATTGTTTAGCGGGTATACTGTTTGTAGAATCTGTTGATGCATCTTCTTACATGAAAACATGGGATAGATTGTATGAGTTACTTGATGCTTTGGTGGAGAGGACTGGAGAGAAAAATGTCATTCAAGTGGTCATTGACAATGGCAGCAATTATGTCTCGGTAGGCAAATTGCTACAAGCTAAAAGAAAGAATTTGTTTTGGACTCCATGTGCAGCACATTGTGTGGATCTCATTTTAGAGGATATTGGAAAGTTGCCAAATGTAAAAAGAACATTAGAGAGAGCCATTTTTCTAGTTGGGCTTATATATACAACCACACATCTGCCTTAAGTTTGATGAGAACTTTCACAAAAAAGAAAGAATTGGTTAGGTGTAAGGTCACTAGGTTTGCTACAACCTATCTTACTTTGGAAAGGGTTCACAAGCAAAAGATTAACCTTAGGAAGATGTTCACATCAGATGAGTGGGTGAAAAGCAAGTTTTATAAAGAAGCTAAGGGTAAGAGGGCTACTGATGTTGTCTTGATGCCTTCTTTTTGGAATGAGATTGTGTATGCCCTTAAAGTTATGGGTCCTTTAGTGGGTGTTCTTCGCCTAGTTGATAATGAAAAAAAGCCAACAATGGGTTATATCTATGAAGCAATGGATAGGGCCAAGGAAGCCATTCAAAAGGCCTTTGATGGGAATGAAGAAAAGTATAAGAATGTATTTTCTCTTATGGATAAGAGATGGGAAAATCAGCTTCATCATCCTTTGCATGCTGCTAGTCATTTTTTGAACCCTCAATTCTTTTATAATGACCCAAGCATTGCAACAAATAAAGAGATTGTGAAGGGGTTATATGATTGTATTGAAAAGTTAATTCCAAATCATGATGATCAAGACAAAATCATAGATCAATTGCACTTGTACAAAGAAGCTGAGGGGATGTTTGTTGATCCCATGGTATTACGGTCCAAGAGCAAAAGAGCTCCTGGTAAGCAAAATGTAGAAAGTTGGGTATTGATTTTTTTTTTCTAATTTTGATTTGTTAGTTCTTGTTTTTTTGAAATAAATTTATGTATTATTTGTGAATTACTCATTCTCATAATGATGATTTGCTTGCCTTGCTTATGTCTTGTAGCTCAATGGTGGAGTTCATATGGAATGGAAACTCCAGAGTTGATGAGCTTGGCCATTTGAATTTTGAGTTTAACTTGTAGTGCTGTTGGTTGTGAGAGAAACTGGAGTGTTTTTTAGCAAGTAAGTATTTTCTCTACTTGTTGGTTTAGGGACTGTTTTTATTTAATTGTTTTGTATTTCTTTTTCAATTCTTGTAACTTATAAGTGAAGTTTTAGTTATCAATAAAGTTTTATTATGGTGGCCAAAATAATAATTATAATTAACATGAAAGTTTTAAAACTTTTCACATATATTTTGTTTTTTTGCTTGTTGATTTAGGGACTGTTTTTATTTAATTGTTCTGTCATTACAATATTTCACATGCAATTTCAATTCTATTAGGATATTCAATTTTTGACTCACAATGAAAAGGAAGCAAATTTTTAGACTATTGTATCCCTAGTGATAGAACATGCATAGAGTTAAGTTGATTTTGAAGAATAAAGTAAAAGTGGTAAGGAAAGTAAAACAAAAAAAAAAAAAACAAATATAGAGTAGAGTAATTATAACTGAAAAGTCATTAGAGATCCAGAACAACAATCACGTTATCCAAAAGCAATTAGAAAGAAAATAGAGAGTAAAGTAAAGTAATAGACATATAGGGAACTAATAACCAATTTAGTGGCTGTGCCGCTGTGGACACACCAACTAAAAGGTACTTTGGTGCCACATAACCTAGTGCTTGAAAGCTTGAGATCATTCTTCTTTTGCAGTGCGGTTAGCTCTTGATTTCTTAAGTTTATATAATTACTCATAATCTCATATTTGATTTTTGGTTTCTATAGAAGTCATTTAAGGTTAATGAACTTAGCACTTGATGATTAAAATACAAAAAAGTATTTTAATTTAACTTATTACCTATTGTCTTTATCGTATAATTTAATTCCATAATCTATTTTAATTGGATAGATTCATAGCAAGAAGAGAAACAGACTTAAGCATAAGAAAATGCAAGATCTTGTATTTGTTAAGTGTAATCAAGCTTTTAAAACTCGATATAATAGCAAGGATGAAATTGATCCAATCTCCCTTGACTATATTGATGATAGTAATGAATGGTTGATTGGAAAAATGGGTGGTGACCATGATGATGCTGAAAATAAACTTCTTTTTGGTGATGATGATTTGACTTGGGGAAAGGTAGCTAGAGCTTCTAGTGCTAAAAAGCCTAGAAAATATACTAGAAGAATTTGTGGTAGATAATAAGCACTAAAACCTTCAAGTTCTAAAGGAAAAGCTGTTGTACAAGAAATTGAAGAAGAAGAGGCTGATATAGAGGAATCAGAGGAAGAGATTGACGATTATCACTCAAGTGATAGAGATGACAGCAATGATGATGATGAGATGAATGTAGTTGATGAGGACGACATGGATGCAGATGATTTATCTTAGATTTTGGAATGATATTATGTTGTTTTTTGTTGTACCTATGATTTTGATAATTACAAAACACATTTGAGTGACTAATTGGTTTATTTAAGTGTGCAGTTAAGTTGCTAAAAGATTGTAAGTAAACTTGGATTGCACTAAAAATAGACCAAAATGATTCAAAATGTGCAGAGAGCCGGCTCTTAAAAGCTGCAGCTGGCTTTGGTGAAATGGAAGTGCAGAGAGCCGACTCTGAAAGCTGCAGCCGGCTCTACAAGCTGTAGCCGGCTCTATAGGCAAAATTTTGAAGACCGTTGTTTGGTGTGCACGGAGAAAAGACGTAAAGTCGGCTCCAACTTTGTAGCCGGCTGTGAGGGTGCATCTAATGCACAATAGTTGACTCTTTTGAATGTATTTAAAATCGGAATTCCAAAGCCGGCTCTCAAGGAAAACAGAATGGCTTGCAAACCTGAATAGCCGGCTCTGGAAGTGTAAGCCGGCTGTGTAGAGTCGGCTCTAGGAAGTTAAGCCAACTCTCCTAAAAGTTCTGCAGCTCGAGCCATGCATCCTACAGAGCATTTAATGACCCCCAACGGCTAGAAACGGCTATTTTCGAGCAAGGGGCTATAAATATGGATCTGAAGAAGTTTGGATTACATAACATTACATATCTTTACCTACTTACTTGAGCTTAAACTTGACTTTTTGATCTTTGAGTGATCATTGCTTGTAATCCTCTTCTTATGCTATTAGTGAGTGTTCTTGGGGGTGTGTTGATTCCTACAAGAATGATCTGTAGAGAGGATCTTTGGGGTTTATCTTGTAAAGGGGTGAGATTTGAGAGAAACACCCTTATTCTTGTAAAAGGATTAAGTGGCTCCTTTAAGCCATCCTTGTTGTTGTTAGCGAAGAGTGTGGAGAAAATCTTTGGTGAGTGAAGCCAAGGTAGAGGACTAGGCTCCAAGTGGTTGAACCGAATCTCTATAAATCATTGAGCAAACTTTTCTTCTCAACTCTCTTTAATTTTGGTTTTGTGGTTGCAAAAAGGGCAGAATTTTTGGAACTTCAATTCACTCCCCCTCTTGGAGTACATTGGGTCAACATTTTTTACTTTCTGCACTATATTAATTTCTTGACTATTATGCTTACATGTACTGCTAATTTTCTATTTTGATAATTGATGTTATAAACTTTAAGTTTTGTTTTATTAATATATCATGTTTTGAGCACATTTTGAAAAGGTTTAGACTATTACATAATCATTTTTTTGTATTGTCTGCTTCACTTTAGTGAAGCACCCGCTTCGCTTTCCACCTCACCACTTAAGCCTTTTGAAGGGCTAGTGCTTAAGGCCTTTAAAGCGCTTAACACTTTTGACAACACTGATATAAGATAAGGGGTTAAAATCTATAAAGTTAGTAAAGGAAAGGCCAAAAATAGGTTTTTGCCATGATTGATTAACCATAACCAGCAAGGGGGGGTGTTTAAGGAGGGCAACAATGTCTTTTTCAAGCTAAATCGAATTCCATTCCACACACGCTCAATCACGTGAGGTGCAAGTAGTCGTAGTACGCTACAGTACTACCTCATAAAGCGTCAAAATTCAGTCCCCTTTCTTCCTCCTAACGCCCTCCGCTGGCGTTCTTTCCTTTTTTTAGCGTTTTCTCCTCCCTGTCTTGCTTCAAAATCGATCGCCGTCGATCCCAAGGTAATCCTCCTCCGGCGCCGTTTATCTTCCCTCGTCGATTTCAATCTTGCAGATCAATTTCTGGTTTGTTTCAATGCTATCTTCTTCTTCATCGTCTCTATTGCCTCTGAAATATTTGTATCGATGTTCCATTCAATTACCGGTTATCTAATTTGATTTTTTACGCTCTAATTTAGCTTAATCAGTTACTGCCGATCGCTTGTAAATTGAGTAGATTTAATTCTGTTGTGATAGAATTTTGGAGATCAACTTTTGGTATGAATTAGGTTTTCGAGTCCCTTTGATGCTTTGGTAGGTTTTGATTTTGAGAAATTTGACGGATTAGTTTGAATCATTTCATCTCTGTTGGATCGGATTTCTTCTCCCGTTTTGAGTCGAAGGTCTTTGTTTCATTACTTTCTTTGGTTCTCTTTTCCTTTGCCATTTCTTTGGTTCTCTTTGATTTGCCTTAATTTCATGTGCAGTGCAAAATGTGAGGAGTTGCTTGATGGATTTTATTTTTAATTCTTACTTTTCCTAATACAGACCGTGTCTTTTGGTAGTTGATTTTCCACGAAATATTTTAAATTTCACTATTAGATCAATTTTTTTATTAATTGTACTCATTTACTGCTCTATTTTGTTTCAGGGGATAATAATACCTTCTGAGATTGAAGAAACAAAGGAGCAGATAAGGGCTTTACCTCCTGTGTGGTGTCTGGTTTTAGGTTGTGAGATGGCGGAGAGAGCGTGTGTCAAGCGCCTTCAGAAGGAATATAGAGCACTTTGTAAAGTATGTTTTCCTTTAGCTTTTAAGTTTGGTGTATTTTAGTAAGTCTAGAGAAAGTTCTATATATTTCCTTTATTTTCGCTATAAAACCCGGTGTCATAGACGTTGTCTCAATACTCCTTGGATTTCACGTTACATGCATTGAGAATATATGGTACTCTATTCTATAATTGATGAATTGTCATTTGCTATAATTGCATTCAAATAAAAAATGTGCCATTCTATTTGCTGTTTTTCTGGATAGATATTCTTGAATAATGTGTTTTCTGGCATTGAGAGATATTGTTGCTGCTTTATAATTTCATTTTACTTGGTTTACTGCAGAATTTTAACTACTTTTCTTCAAATTTGTAGGAACCAGTTTCTCATGTTGTTGCTCGTCCTTCATCAAATGACATTCTTGAGTGGCGTAAGTTTATTCAAAGTCATTATAATCTTAGAATGCGTGTCAAAGCATCACTGTAAGTTTGTAACCATTATGAATTTCACTTCCATCTTGGCTTTTAAATCTTTATATAAGAAAGGGAAAGGAAAATGATAATGATCTTCAAATCTGTCATTTCATTGGTGTTCATGGAACTGTCAGTTAAGATATAATTGTATCATTGTACCAACTTGTACCAACTAGTACCAAGGGTTGTCTTCTTTTTGCAGAGTTGTGACATATGTGTGAAGAACTTGACTTGAATCTGTGTTTGGTTGTAATCTTACCACCTGGAAGTTTGGATGTTACTTTAAAGGAAAATGAAGCAGATATTAATTGTGTAGCTAAGTTTTATATGCTTATGTACCACTAATGTACGATGGTACATGGGTTTAAGTTTCATTTGTTACTATGATAAAAAAAAAAAA